GCCCACACGAGTCAACAGCTACATACACTGCCGGCAGCAGCCGTGACACGAGTTCAATTGTCCGATCTTCCCCAAACCTACCTCTAAAAAGTTGACACGGAGGGCGCTTACGCCAATTCTGCAATCCGAGGGCTTTTGTCAATTATGTTGCGCGAAATTTATCTCGCGCGCGCTGCCTCTCGCGCTGTCTGATCGATCGTGACAGGATGCGTGTCTTCAAAATTGCAGAAGTGGGACATTTTTCGTGTCTTCCCTGGACATCATGTGCCTTCTGTCTTCCATATTTTCTCGGTACGCATTCAGGTTTTTCTTGATTCTAACCCTTATAGAAAAAGAGTTCGGAATGTCTTCGACCGGTGCTCAGCACTGCCACGTTTGGACGTCACCGAGCTGTAGTCTCTACCTGGACTCTCCGGTCAGCTGCTTGGCTTGATTATGCGCGCTCTTAGCGGTGATTGAGGTATGCGCCCGACTTTCCTTGGACAATATGACGATTTTCCCGGCTTCTAGCCAAAGCACCTTGCTTATCCTTCTAGCCAACCAGGTATGTTTCAAAACTTCAGTTGAGATGGTAACGGCCATAGGTCAAAGTCAAATTAATGTGCTCAGCCACCTCCATTGAGCACTCCGAACTGCGATCCGTTGCATACTTGACCGGAGAGGCACGTTTCATCGATCGGGCACTCCTGTTCTACAACGATCTCTTTCTATGATATGAGGACGAACAGAATGATATTTATACGTGACTGAAGGTCTGTTATTCTCATAAAAAATCGTCCTTGCTCTCTACAGCTCATCTGCAGCATCTCCATGTTCACCAACAACCCATACGCTCAGGCAGGTTGGTATAACCCACAGAACCCCCACTCGATTAACGGCCAGCCCTGGAATGCCAATGCGCCCCATCCACCGACTTTCGGGGCACTCCCATCTCAAAGCGGTTCGACGCCTACGAAGCTGACGTTCGAGTTTCCCGACGTTTTTAACTGTTCCGTCACCGGTCCAGGCGGGAAAACCTACCTTAGTATTGTGTCGAACAATACATCCACATTAATTTCCAAGCCGAACGGAGAGCTCGTCGGCAGAATAGAATGGCAGGCCCAGCCATGGATTGAGATCGCGAATGGTGTTGGGCGACAGCTCGTCTCGACGTGGCTTCCACTTTCATCTGACCACAGGTGAGTACACTGTCGCGACCATTTGCCAGTTTGACCAATGTGTTAAGCAGCTACCGAACCATGATTGTCGGTGGGCGCGTTTATGCTTGGGTCCCTCGGAGCGGATCAATCGTCGTACGTGCTACTTCCCTGATCACGACGGCATGTTATTAAGTTTTTCCAGTTGTGCACCGCAGGCCCCAACCCTCCAGAAGAGTTTGCCAGAATTTCAAGGACCTCTAGAAACATCGTATTGGAGATTACCAGTGGAGCGATTCATGCGGGACTTTTCGAGGTTGGGGTTGTTGCGACAGTTTTATTACAATCCGGTAGAAGTTTGGCATAAGTGCATAGCGCTTGCGAACCTATTAGACTTTTGATATCCAACATCCCCCCACATTGGTGTCGTATTTTCTTTGCAGACTCTGTCCGTTTTTCTTTTATTTCAGCCTTGGTTTGTGGGCACTACTTAATTTTCGTGATACATACATATTCCTCTTGTAATACTGCTTGACGTTGATCGTTAAATTTAGGCTTTGACACTGCTTTTCTTTGAAACGGAGTTTGTAGGCGCTGACAAATCAAATTCTCACATCGCCCTCTCTTCACAACGAAAGACCATCTGAGAATGAGTTACACATCCACCCATCTCCTACCTTCAACTTCAGGCTCAACGGCATCGCAAACGGATGGCTCTCGAACACTCACGATCACCAGCGATCCCATAGGCGAACACGACGGGGACGACCAGCGACAAGTGGTGGGAACCCTCAAGTTGCGGGGGGCACATACCAAGAAGACGCAGAGAAAAGCCACAGTAGCTTGGGGCGAGGAGGTGGTGGATAACGAGGGATGCGGGAGAAAGAAGTCTAAGAGTACGCCTTTTGTTCATCTCGCAGGAATCGATTTGTTTGATAGCGGTATCTGTAGTTTGCTGTATTTACCACAAGCCGCGAAGATTCGACGAGTCTTCAGACGAATCTGACTCTGATAGTGATATGTCAGATTCGGGACATGCTGGGCATGGTCACGATCGTCGAGGCTCCTCTGCCACTGGTGCTGCGTTCCCTTCAGCTGCGGGCTCAACCGCTGAAGTTGTGGACACTTTCAAAGACAGAGAATCCAACGCATACGAGTCGGTCCCTAGTCATCATAAACATTCGTAATCCCATTCATCTCACCTTGGACTCCTTTTTTCTGGATGGTTTTGATGATTGTATACCTTCAGATAGCTTCCCACAACTTCTTCGCATATCCTCATTTCAGTGGATCATTTGACGATTCTGTGTAACACAGGCAATACATCCAGATCAGTGAATTTCGTCCCCCATGCTCAGCAATTCCTGACATCTCGTCGATAATATGCTGGCGGCCACTCCCACCTGGTTGTCACCTGGATCGTACACCTTTCTCTCGGCTCAACCTATCTACCACACGTGAACTCGAATGAAGTCCAGTGAAACCTAGTGGACATCTCACTGGCGCATCAACTCCGCGACGTCCCAGGCTACTGACCATTACGCATATTTTTGAGCGGACGACTTTTTATGCCTCTTCTAGTTCAACTTCCAATTTAAGGCAAGGTCAACTCCATATACAACTCAATGCCTGTTGCCAGCTCTCCATCCAACTTTGTTCATCTTGTCATTTTTTATTCAATACCACAGTCACATCTGCCCGCATGAACTGGTGAGACTCTCATTTATTTTTTCTGAGCAACTTAGATTCACCTTGAGACTTAGACCCCGGCGGGTGACATTACCATTCGATCTGTAACCTTGGCCTTTGATGGTTCATGCGTGGTCG